GTACAACGCCACGCGCCGAAAGCACTGCTGTTGCTGTTACTGATGTCGACCGACCGGACACCACCACCACCGTTTGGTGGGACCGGATGGAATTATATTTTCAAATCCGTGCAATTGGTGATAATTTTGATCACCATTGCAAAAGTTGAACATTTGTGTAATTTTCAATAGATTGGTAGACAAATTTCCAACCAATTGGCTTGTTTAGAATTAAAATTCATGCGCTATTGACAGAGCTATAAGTGGTCAAAACCTGACCACTTTTCGTAACGCGGTCGATTTAGGTTTTTTGAAATTGCACCCTCAATATGTTGCTGAAAGGTGGCAAAGTTCTAGTGGCAGAAATGTAATTTTAAACTGCTCGAACGTTGCCCAGCACTGCTCGACTAAGTTATTAATTTCTGTTTTTTTAAACATCCAAAATGTTGTCTACTTTTCTGGATATTTTAAAAGGAAGGACATTTCTCAAACTACTATTTTATTTCAGAGTTCACGGGGTAGTGGCAATTTAAACTGCTCGAATGGAGCGATTCATTGCCATTTATTCAAATTTATCTCAATTGATGAATCTACGTTAAGGTCGACCAGCAGATGGAAATGATGATAAAATGAAAATGACGTTTTGCTACCTGTCAAATCGTATGGAATATTTTTTAGTACATCATCACTTTTGTGGTTTTGGATTTCAAACCTAGGTGTCGCATGCACTGGTGCAGTTTCGCGTAGATTCATCAATAGCCAAGAATTATTTTATTCTACTTTAGATACTCGGCTCATCTGTTTTTAAGTTTGCCTCACTGAGTTTTTGAAAGTTTATGAAGTTTATGAAGTTTTCAGAAGATTATATTTTTAACTTCACTCAAATTTAGATAATTTTTGGCAAATTTTACTTAAATATGAGTACTTGAGTACTATGAGTTCCAAACACTGCCTAAATTTTAGTGAAGTTGATAAATAATTCCCGCAGTTTACTGAATCGAAACATAATTGTTTATAGTACAGGAATTCGTTGGTTGACGGTTTTGACGTTAGGGTTCTTCTTTTAAGCTTTTAACACATCTTTAGCGAGCGTTTTGCTGGCTATCAATTTAGTGTTCTTTAGTGATGAACTTTCACAGTTATTAATTGACTGCATTCTATGCCAATCAATGCATGAATTTTTGTATAGAAGTCGAGAAAATTTCAATCTCGAAAGACTTCTTCGATCGAACGGGTAATCGCCGCCTCCAGTTTGGTAATACCGTGCCCTTTACTGACTCGGCTATCTGAGATCGCGCGTTGAGGGTGCTTTGCAGTTCAAATACAAGTTTGGGATACGATCGAATATGACCTTAGTCTCAAATGCTGATGAATTGTTGAATAGTTGAATATCTGTATAATGCTAGAGAGAAGGATTTCATTTAATTCCACTACCTTATTCGCTTATCCTTGACTGCCTTTTACTAATCCTCGACTGAAGAAATGTATATTTTGGTAGATTTTAACTTAGAAGCTAGGTAAATATAAATCTACGCTCCTGTAGAAGCAGGTACTTAACTGCTTACTCATTGATGTGCCCTAGGTAGTAACTTGAAAATCCAAGTGTGTCCGTTTCCTTGATCTCTGCTGAGTAAAGTTGTTTCAAATCTAGATAGAGCTGAAATTAGGGCGTAACATAAAGAGAGTAAAGTCATGGCACTCGCTGGCAAATCGACATCTCTATCGAGTAGGGGAAGACTTTCCTTACCCGATGGATATGTTGGTTTGTGTGGGCGTGTCTTGAATTCCTAGGAATCAACGAGAGAAGTCATTATTTACAAAAGCTGTTACACCCCAATTTCAGCTCTATCTAGAAATGTTTTTTCTTTTCGATTTAAACAACAGTTTGACACATTTCAAACTCAAACATTACCCATGAAATCACTTTTCCATAAACAAACCATCCTAATCTATTTGAAATTTAAACAAAAACTTGGAGTTAACCGAAGACAACCTATCATGAAGACTGACAGCTCTCACGCTTTCTTATACAATCGCTAAGAATCCTCGTCATCTATCGCTCAAAGGAAAATACTCCGACTCCGAACGAATTTGATGTGCATGGATAAGGGCAGAGTTTCCAATCTTCTTGATTAATCTGAATTTGTCATGCTAAATGATTCAACTTTAACGTATCCAAAGATTAAAAATGGGTTTGTTTTCATAGCAATCTACATTTCGCCTGAGGTTGGAATCTTCGCTTAAAATACATTCACTGAAAACGAATCTTACTCAGAGAGAGAGCCATTTTTACTCATTCGTATGGAGAAATCACTCCATACGAATGAGTAAAAGTGAGCTAGACTCGTTTTCAGTGTTTTGAGCATTTATCTCTTTAAATAAATTGTTCTTTAATACATCATCACGAAACTCACTAACGACATCTCGCGAGCTATTCGTGGAAAACCGGTTGTTTGCCAATGTTGCATACAAGTTCAATTTCTGTGGTGAAGGACTCACGCAACTAATAATATTTAAATTGAACGTTACATGCGTGTACGATGATTGAGGAGAAAGAAGTACGTCTGTTTGTCTGTGATTTATCTTTGAACGGCAGTGTGATGTGTTGTCTTGGATAATCAGGTTTCTACTATCCTCACTTTTTGAAAAATCCAATTTTTCAAAAAGTTAGTACAGTAGCAACCCAGCTGCTACATCGTGCAGCAGAATTGCGAATGTATTCGCTTGTAAACGATTACGGGCCCATCAGCTGTTGTTTTCTCGTTCGAAAAACCACCAATCAAAGGTAAACCTCGGGGTCGACGATGGATGCATAGTAATCGCGAGACACACCTCCGTTGCGTGCTGGCGCAATGATTCGCTGGAAAGGACGGGGACGGCTCGACAAGATTCAACGTCAAGTTTGAAACAAAGAAGCGAGCTGGTGAAGTATGTGTGTGTGTGTGTGTGTTCGAACCTTATCGGCTTTAACATAGCCGCGAAAGGTTGGAAACAGAACCGCATCAAAATAGACGAACTGGTTTTGCACTGAACTGAAATTAATGAGCAATTAAGACGGAGCGCTTGGCAACAGACGGAGGCGCGATTTCGGCTGTTGGCTGTTGTTTCAAAGAGCGATAAGGTTATTTTTGTTCTGCGGATTCCCATTTTTGGGTGGCAAGTTCACCCGAGATTGACCTTTAAAATTCCCGATGAAATGCCCAAAGCGCTCAAGTTGTGTGCTATTTACCCGTTCGCGATAAGCAATCGAACAGCGTATTTTTTCTAGTGCGAAATTCATGTAAACGTCACCAGTCGTCACGAGGTGACGAGGTGCGTGCCAGCCATTAGCCGATATCCGCTAATTGGATGCGCCCGTTTCGAAGAATTCCGTAGCAAATTTTTGGCGATCTCACAATCAGCGAAATCGCATTAGCGCCGGTTGGCCAAATATCACACCCACATTTGCTAATCATGAAACGTGGCACTGCGTGAAACGTCACGGCCGTCTCGGTCAAGTCCCGTTTGGATGCGGCCATACATTTGTCGGTGCAGACAGTTTGACAAATACCGGAAATATCCACCCGGATCCATCAGCGTCGCGTCGTCTGCTGCAGTTTTTCCTGCAGCGTGACTTATCAGAATGTAAACATCACTCTAGGTAGTGAGGCCTTTTTGCACTCAACCAGCCCGTGATGTTGTCAGTTCTAGCGAAAGCAAAACTAAGCCATCGATCGATCGTAATCAACAAAACATGATGTTTACGTCTGATTGGTGGCTGACCGAGAATTGCATGTTTTTGTTTTCAGCAAACCGTCTCGCGTGTCGTTATCAGCTCTCTATGTTGATTCAACATTCTCGATCTTCTTGTCATGCTCTGCTCTGCCTTCCCTTGTATGGTTCGGCAATACCGCACAGTCATGCCACGTTGGAGTATTTGACCCAACAAGTTGGCCGGAAGTCCGAAATGAATTCTGGACCTGATTAATGCTTTTCTAAACCCACCCAATTGTCATTATTAGAAGCTCTTGAGCAATCACTTGGTCGTTTCGAAAAGTTCATTCTGTCAGTAGTCTGCTGCTCGGTTTTCGGCTTGTGATTGACAGCCACGACCTTAATCGAATGCTGAACTTCCAACGTCCTCAACGTGGCATTTCTGGTTCCCCGCAGCAGCAGGCAATCTTGTTTGGCAAGATGCAGCCGCGCTTTGTCGTCCGAAGACAAAAATTGAAAGTCCATCCAATTCATGGCCTCTGATCAAATACCACATTCATAACCGACGACCGAACCGGGCGAACAGACGACGCGCGAGCGAGTTCAAACTGGACCTTGATCTGCTAAACAAGCAATTCATGCGCCGAAGTCGTGATCGTCGTCGTCGTCGTCGTCGTGGATGAGCGTCATTTGCGATCGTGACTGATGACGTCACAAAAAGTAAACCACTGCCGCGTGCTGTTTAGTTTGGGATGAATTTTTGTTTGTTTGTACGAAACGGGGTTTCCGTTGGTAGTGTGTATGCATTGATTGAAATTGTATAAGAGACCTACTTTTCGCTAGGGCCTAGGGTTTGGGTAATTGGTTCGAACGCGTTTTCGGGTGTTGAATGTCTAATGGTTAGACATGACATCGGAGCTGAAATTTGTTCTTGGACTTACATCATGGCTTCAGCATAGATCACCATTGGCATTTGCTATGACTCATCCCTTGTTCAACTTTCGTTGCCTCAATTTCTTCTGATGAGTTTGTGAGCGCGGTTCGAACCTTCATCTTATTACATCGATAATGATACGATCAAATCAAAAACATCCCATCGTGCATAATTGTCACAGTAGGCTCATCACTGTACGGGCGACTGTCAAACGGCAGCCCTTTCGATCCTTCTTTAGTCGTTATTTGTTTCCATCCCCACTCCACTCCACACAATATTTGCACCCATAAAATAAAAAAAACCTTAGTTAGCCTTAATGCGTAGCATTCCACGGAACGACATCGACGGCGGTACTAATTGTGCTTCCTTTCTTCGCTTTTACATTCACTTTCAGTATCTGGATATAGGCGAAGATCTGAACGTACCTGATGACTTCACGCAGAGCGAGATGCAGAGCGGTATGTGGTGGCGGCACCTGGCCGCCGGTGGTTTCGCGGGGGCCGTCTCCCGGACCTGCACGGCACCGCTCGATCGGCTCAAGGTATTCCTGCAGGTAAGTCCACTGCGTCCGAGCACAATCCTTGCTCAAGTCATTTCAATGTTCTTTTTTTTTGTTCTGCCTTCCCCCAGGTGCAATCAACCAAACAGCGAATCTCAGACTGCCTGCAGTACATGCTGAAGGAGGGCGGAGTGCAGAGCCTGTGGCGGGGCAACTTCATCAACGTGCTTAAGATTGCCCCGGAGTCGGCAATCAAGTTTGCTGCCTACGAGCAGGTGAAGCGGCTCATCCGGGGCAGCGACAAGCGCCAGCTGTCGATCTACGAACGGTTCGTGGCCGGTGCCTGCGCCGGTGGGGTATCCCAGACGGCGATCTATCCACTAGAAGTATTAAAAACTCGACTAGCATTAAGGAAAACCGGACAATACAGTAGTATATTGGACGCGGCGAGCAAGATCTACCGCCGCGAGGGCGTCCGCTCGTTCTACCGTGGCTACATTCCAAACATGCTCGGCATCATACCGTACGCCGGTATCGATCTGGCCGTGTACGAAACGCTGAAGAAGAAGTACCTCAGTCACCACGAGACGGAACAGCCGAGCTTTTGGCTGCTGCTGGCGTGCGGTAGCGCCTCCAGCACGCTCGGGCAGGTGTGCTCCTACCCGTTGGCCCTGGTGCGGACGCGGTTGCAGGCTCAAGGTGAGTTGGGAACTTGACCAATGCAGGACAGACAGTTGACAAACGAGAACATATCTAGATAGAGCTGGAATTAGGGCGTAACAGCTTTTGTAAACAATGACTTGTATCGATGATTCTCCGGACTAGAAGAGACACAAACAGAGCCCTTACCGTGGCCGATATCCTACAAGGAAGGACAGATTGTGAGGCTATCCTGAGGCAAATTGACCTGAATGTTCAACCCCGACCGCTTCGTAATAACCTTATGCTAAGACTGCCTCTACGTCGCACAAATTATGGAGCGTACGGTGCGATTTGCGGACTGCAGAGAACATTCAACAGAGTTGCATCTGTTTTCGACTTTCATCTTTCCCGTGATGCGCTTCGTCGAAAGTTTTCTTCTGTTTTTCGCCGGCAGGAGTTAAGATATTGACTATAAGATATACGTTTTTTAATGTTTTTTTATGTTATGACCATGCTTGAATGTAATTTTTTTTTACCATAGTTGATAAGGTTTAAATCATTGGGGCTTCATCCAGCCTGTTGATGTAATTAAATAAATAACAAATAACAAAATGATTTCTCGGAATTCAAGGCACGGCCACGCAAACCAACATAACCAACGGGAAGGGGAAGTCTTCTCCTACCCGATGGTAATGTCGATTTGAGTGAGCGAGCCTTGATTTTTTAGAAATTGTTTACAAAAGCTGCTACGCCCTAATTCCAGCTCTCTATAAATATAAGAAATGATTGTGATCCGAATAATCGGTATCCTTGTTCTGTATGAAAAGAGAGTGGTAATCCAACATTTCTCCAATCGCCAATCGAAAAATTTAACCAGATGTTTCACGATCTCAGATTGTCAGAAGGTCTCTGAACAACAATTATGGTGGATTCACTCCGTACATGGAGCTCACTAGACACCTCGGAAGCTTTTTGGCTTTTAAAGTGGACATTTTATACGATTTATGAGGAGTTGAAAGTATAGAGTTGATATTTCCGTACGGCAGTGTGAAAATTGTATAAAGAAAGTAGAAACCAAGCAATTAGCAACTTTGAGCAAGGTACGAATCGGATCGAGCATCCTCTTTACCAAACTCATCCGTTGATGAGGGATGTGAGGAGTGTGATATTTGACGTTAGGCATCTCCAAACCGCCCTAAAATAATCAATCGAATTCTTTTAATAAATGTTCTTATTTATTTATTTATTTATTTATTTATTTATTATTCGCTTCATCGAACTTTTGTTGTCTAAATGAAGATTGATGGGGAAAAGCCTATTTGGCAAATATTTGCGCAAATAGGCGTAAAAACCCCATATCTTTTCAAAATACAAGGAATATAAAAAGGACAGAAAAACACATCAATTATAAAAATAAACACCGAATAATAATAATACTATGGTCTTCATCATAAAAAAATAACCTCGTCCTATGGCATGGAGTTGTCCTTGGATCAGTCGAGGCCGCCATCGCAGAGTTGATCGGGAACAAAAAAGGAAACAGGTAGCAAAATTCATCATAATATGTACATTAATGGACCGCTACTCACCGTCTTGCAACAATTTGCTGATTGAAAGCAGTTGCATGTGTCGAACCGTATCGTCACCTATCCAGCAGAATACGTTGAATCCGTTGACGAAATGTTTCCACTGTGCAGTTGAAATCGAAAAAAAAACATAGAATTCATTGAAACGGGCTGACATGAGCCGTATTGGATCATGAAATCCGTAATTAGCTGCACGGGGTCCGAGATGCAGATGTAGAACTCGTTCAGGTGCATAGATTTCGAATTCAGCCAAAATCCCGGGAGAGTCGATTTCACTTATCAGCACTTTTGCTGCAAACACTGCCTGGTTAATCTTCCGCCTACGTTCAAGAGTTTCAATACCCAGTAGTTGGCAACGATCTTCGTAGGGTGGAAGGTTCGTAGGATCGTACCAAGGAAGGTGGCGAAGAGCGTAACGAATGAATTTCCTCTGAACAGACTAGATCATCGCTATCCAAACTGTTTCATACGGACACCATACTACTACACCAAATTCCAAGATCGATCGCACTAGAGAACAATATAGAGCTGTCAGGCAGGTAGGATCCCGAAACTCATCAGAGATCTTAAAGATGAATCCGAGTTGCCTGTTAGCTTTGGCTATGATATCCGTGTAATGTAGCTTAAATGTCAAAGCAGAATCAAGTGTAATTCCTAGATCACGAACGTTGTCCACACGCTGCAGAGGTTGGTTATCGATCGTATAATTGAATGCAATTGGTTTGAGCTTGCGATGGAAAGTGATGATATTGCATTTTTGAACACTCAACGTGAGAAAATTCTTAGAGCACCACTCTTCGAAACTATCGATCAGGTGCTGCAACCGCAGGCAGTCAGTGAAGCATCGCACAACCACGTACATCTTGACATCGTCTGCATAGAATGACCGGCAGCCAGTTGGAAGTATCAAACCGATTTCCTTAATGAATATGGAGAATAGCAGCGGTCCCAAATTGCTGCCTTGAGGAACGCCTGAGTTGTTTGAAAAATATTCCGATTGATCAGACCCGATTTTCACACAAAGCTGTCGATTGGTAAGATACGATTCAAACCAACGAGTGAGTCCATGAGAAACACCAAACTTCTCGATTTTGGCAATTAGAATGGCATGATCAACCCGGTCGAAAGCAGCCTTGAGATCCGTGTATACGACGTCCACCTGTGCCCCTGCCTCCATATTTCGTAGGCATAGGGAAATGAAAGGAGCGAGGTTTGTTGAGACCGACCGTTTGGGGTGGAAACCATGTTGGTCAGGAGAAATGTAGTTTCTACAGCTGGCAAATAAAGCATCGTTGATGATTATCTCGAATACTTTCGAGCAGGCACAAAGTGAAGTAATTCCTCGGTAATTCTCACCATTTTGTTTGTCTCCTTTCTTGAAAATCGGGAACATGAACGATGATTTCAAAAGAGAGGGAAATACACCTTGTTGTAACGAAATATTGAACAGCTTTGAAAGCGGAGAGGAAAGCTCTGTTGAGCATCTTTTGAGTATGGACGATGCAATGCCGTCAGGCCCAACAGTGTTCGAGAATTTCAGCTTCTGGATGGCAGAGTCGACGAGGTTCAATGTGACCGTGAAAATATCAAAGCTGAACGCGTCACTGGGAGTATCTCTGATCCCTTCAGCAACTTGGCTTAACGATGCCGTCGAATCGCTGAAAGCACTCTTGAAATGCTCAGCCAGGAGGTTACATTTCTCTAAAGAAGTGTTGGCTCTTTTATCACTTAGATGAATCTCAACCGGTAGCCCATCCTCTTTCCTTTTTGTCTTCACAAACGTCGCCGGTTACGCCGGAGATTGGTCTGCATACGTCTTGAGTACTTCTTGAGTACTACGGTTGTACATTCGGTAGCAATTACTTGCTAACGAAAATAATCGCTTGGTGAATGGATTACGGGACTGGCTGTATTTTCGAAGAGCCTCACACGCTTCAAGTGTTGTAATCGAGCATTGGACCATGCAGGTTTTGGAGCAGGTCTCCTCAGAGGCACACAATCCATTATTAATCGGCTAACAACTTCGTCGAAATAGTTAACGGCTTCATCAATGGACGAACATAAGTCAAGCCACTGCCAATCTACCTGTGCCAGTAAGTGATTCAATGCGACGTAGTCAGTTCTACGTAAGTCCAGGCTTTGTACATCAACGATGTTTTCATAGAGAACAGGAACTGCTCGATTGATGAATGCTTCCAACGCTGGATGATCGGCGCCAAATTGTTTTTCTTAGAATCTTAAATATTTTTCAAGGCTGGAATTTTTTACTTTTCCTTAGTACACTATACTAAAAATCTGAGTACTGCGAACTAACTCAAAATGCTTGTCATCTGAGAGCCGAGTCGAACTGTCAAACGGGAGGCAAACATTCAAAAGAGCACAGAAGTCATGTGGGTAGTTACTGTTTAAACCACAAATAAAGGTATTGCCATCTACTGTAAACAAATGAAGAATTATAATTATGAAACTGTCCAAACATCAACCCTAGTAGGCGGATAATGTTAATTATCGAACGTGATCAGGGTGTCGACTACCTAGGAAAAAACCTGGAAAATCAGCGAATATCAGGGAATTCATTTTTAGTCTGGAAAATCAGGGAATCTCAGGGAATTTCATTCAAATTCAGGGAAATCTTTCTTCAGAAACTTATCAATAAGTATGATTGATTTCGCTAGTTTTAAACAATAACTCAGCGTAGTATGAAGATGGTTGTTTATTTCAAATTTTAAATAGAGTTGCGAACTTGTGGTTGCCCAATGCTTGATGTTGCATTTTTGCGAATTGAGCAAAAATTACTTAGAAAAAGGATATTTCGATGATTTTTGGTCTAACATAAATTCAGCTCCCACTGGGTGTTGGAACATTCCTGAGTTCGACTGAGATCCTGAGGGTTGACAAAAACCCATTTTTGTAGCCGCTAGGCGGTGTTAGTTGTTTCAAAATTTAATCTTGAAATGAGCATGTTTCTTCCGAATACAGTAGTTGTTTGCTAACTGGGTTAAAAGTGCAGCCTAGATAGCGAATTCCACTCGCTAACATGGCTTGTCAAACGTCAAAAAACACCGAGGTGACCTTCAATGGCTTGAGTTGAAACAGTGTAAAGTTTCTTAATGATATTTTCACTGCATTGCATTTGCTATTTAAATAGGCTTAACGCTTTCAAGTCTTGCTTTCAGTGTGAAATAAAAATAAAATTAACACTTAATATTCCATTCGAATGCCCCTCACCAATTATGACAACGAAATGTTAAACTAAATGTGACGTCTATTTTTGATGTATAACTGCTTTTTAACTGGGCTAAAGCCGTAATATTAGCTTGAAGTAACTTACAGATTTTTTTTGTGTAAAATCGCTGTGTTTACTATTTCCCGAATCCGCCCGCGAATTAGTTTTTGGTTAAGCGTATTATCCTTATAATTGTATAGCAAAGCTGGGTCTCAAAATGAGTTCGAAGCAAAACAAATAATAAGATTAAAGACAAGTGTTTCATATTTAAAGTTCAGGGTGACCAGTGATCTGGGAAACCGAGAAACCGGGCTGAAGCCACCGGGAAAAAACCGGGAAAATCCCGTGAATTTCGATGACTAATCCGGAAAAGTATACTGAAAACAGTTTTCATATAGTTTCCATTGGGAACGCAAATGATATTTTTCCAATAACAAAATTAATGATTTCTATCTGAAATTCACATAACATTCTCATGATCACATGAATTCTATGTGATAAATCATATAAACTTCATTCGACACATAAGGTTCATGTGATTTCATGGTGCGATTCCCAATTATGAGATCACATGAAAGTTATGTGAAATTCTAATGGATATTTTCCATCGGAAATGTGATTTATTTTTTGAGTGTATACTTCGTCCTCTCTTCGAAAAAAAAAGATTTTAAGACCCTTGGACTCTACTAGATTTTCAGGATACAGTAACTTTGAAGAACTTCAAAGAGAATTTTAGATTTTTTTCCAAAACAAATTTGAACAGATTTTTAGAATGAATTCTACACCGAAAAAAGTTTGCATGTAGCTTCCATTGGAAATGCACATGATTTTCATCCATAATCAAAATCAATGGAATTCATCTGAATTTCACATAACATTTATGCGATCCCATTAAATTTATGTGATTTTGCAAATGAATTTCTTCGGCCTCATAATATTCATGTGATTTTGTGGTGGGATTTGCTGCCATGGAAAGTTATGTGAAATTCACATGGATTTCATCCATTAGATATGTGATAAATTTTTTGAGTGTAGAAATAACACCAAGGTATTTCAAAGAACATTTTTAGAGAGAGTTAGGAAAATCAGTGAGTGAGTGCAGAGTAAAAATTTAAGTCCTTCTCTAGAAAATTCCATGACGATTGTGAATAAAAAATACCAAGGGAATTGAATTTGGAGGGAACAATTCCAAAGATAACTCTGTGGATAATTCCATGCGCATTTCGAATAGAATTTCTTGATAATTTTAGGGAGAGTTCCAAGCAATTTCCAGATGAATTCAGAGGAGAACCCCAAGATAATACTGAACAAAATTTGAAGACATTTTTCGACGGGAGAATTTCCCCTGCCCGATGGAAATAGTGAAGGGATTCCCAGAGAGAATTAAAAAAAATCTGAAAATAACTCTGTGAATGGATGATTCTTAAGGAAATGCTTAAGAACAATCAAATAAAATCCTGTTAAGACAAATTGTGAACACTTCGAACGTGTCATAGAGCCAAATTCAAGATCCAGGAAAGTAGATTTATATCAAGTAGGTTGCAGTTTCCTTTACACATCCATAACATCCCGGTTACTGCTTGAACTGGGTACCTGGCCTTTACCAAGATTAAAATGTGTGTATTTAGAAAAAATGCACTGCCTTCCTGTTTTTGGCAACACGCGATTGATTTATGTCTTATTTGCATTCTATAAAATGTATCGAACACTTTATTCAGTTTGAAATTGTATAGGATCAATCTTCGTGGGTTAGAGGTCCATGTCGTATTTCATGAAAAAATGTCCAGAAAGCACTAGTATAGTACTGAGGACAGTAATAGCCGATGGGATTGCCAAAAACGGGTAGGCACTGCACCTGGAATTATTGTGGAATTTACTAGAAAGTCAGGGAATATCAGGGAATTTGGTTTTCTTCATTAAGTCGGTACCCTGGTGATGCTCGAATAAGTTTTTTTATTTGATATTAATAATAATGCCAACACTGGGGTTACGAATTGCTGCAACAAGAATTAAATCAAATTTTATAAGAGTCATGTGAGCTTTGATGTTGCTTGCTCACTTGAAAAATCAAACCGACATAGTTCGCAATACCCAGCTAAAAATTAAGTTTGAGATCTAAAAAAAAAAGAATACTCCCGAGTTTGACTTCATCAAAGACTGAACTAATGACTCACGTGGTCCCAAAAATACTAACGATCCAATCTTCTATTGTTCCTCCCATTTCCAGCCGTAACGATCGGAGCGCAGAACCCGGCCGACGGAATCGCCACCGTCGAACCGAACATGACGAACGTGTTCAAGCGGATACTGCAAACGGAAGGTCCCCTGGGGCTGTACCGGGGCATCACGCCAAACTTTATCAAGGTGCTACCGGCCGTATCGATCAGCTACGTCGTGTACGAGTACTCGAGCCGCGCCCTCGGAGTGAACATGACGTGATTTGCTACTGTTGCCACCGAAAACGACAACAACAACAACGACCCGATGAGACGCACTTTCCTGAATGCCATCATCGTCGTCGTCGTTGCACCTGCAGCAGAAGCAGCTCTAGAACTCCTACAACTGCTACTATCACTACAACTGCTATTGTTACTATTACAACAGCTAGCACTGTTGCTACTACTGCAGAAAGCGCTAATGTTGCTAATATCAGCTAGCCGTTTTTATTACGCCGCAACATCATCTCTTCGTCATCGCCCGTCATCATCATTTAAATATCAATCGCGCCCTTCTCCCGTCGGGGCTTCCGACGGGGAGGTGGTTGATTCCTTCAGCTATTTATTAATTGAATGAAAGTTTCCCGAACATTGAGCAAAGGACACGGAAACTCTGCGAAATCGTGCTTTTCCTCCCCTTTAAGTTCTGTTCGATCTAATGCTTAAAACAATAGGTGTACATATTGCAATTTAACTTATTTCCCGCTCTTATTATTTAGTTTGTATTTGTTTTAAGTAGTAGCAACAAATTGAAAAAAAACCCCTCCCAATATAATTTAAGTAAATCCAATCTTTGCAATCAGGTCAATTTTTTACTACTTTGATTTTCCTTATGATTACAAATAAAACAGACAAACAAGCAAAACCTTCTAACGATTCCAGTTTCGATTGAAGCAACGTGACAATGTAAAAGTCACGAACCGTCTCTCTAAATGTGGTAATCTTAGCGGGTGACATCTAGGGGCAAAGTCGCAAACTAGAGGTACATTGTATGGAAAGTGCAAACATTAAACAGAATCAACAACAATTCTAATTTAAACCTATTTATTTACCCAATTCTTCGGCGTTTAGAAAAAAATGCTTAGATTTACATTTAGCCAATTTTTTAAACAGTACACCCCCCCCTCCCTCCTGAAATCTTAAAACTAAACAAACGAAATGTAATACCGTCCAATCCCCGAAGGCGTTCGGACGATTCGGACGGAGATGAAGCATTCTTGCAGGCTACGAGTTTGCGAGGGCTTCCGGATCTCAGCACCCAGCGGTGCCGGTCGGTCGGTCGGTCGGTTCGCCGCATTCCTCGGCAGGTTCGAGAGAAGGTGACGAACGGGGAAACCCACTGTTTGGTGCTGCTGCTGGTGAAGGAAGCCCTCAAAACCAGAACAAAACCGGCGCGCATCCGAACCAAAGCGCTTAGTTAGTGTAGAGTAATCAAAGTCGAAAAGCTATTAAACAAAAAATGAAATGTTCGTTTGGAATGAAAACAATAACAATTTGCTTGTGCGCTTTTTCTTATTACTTTTAGTTAGGTGACTTTTTCAAAAAAAAAAAAAAAAAAACACTAAAATCAAATGAATTTCCCATTCACATGCAGACACATGAAGAACTTGAATTAAAAAAAAAAGAGGTCAGTGATGGTTTTGAAAATGAGGGGTGTGAGAGCGTGGTGCGCGCGTTGTGCTTATGCATTAGGAAACAATTTATAAGAAATGAAAAGAAGAAATGATGTGAGACTGATGGACGTTCTGGAGAAAATGCGGGAAGAGATCAGCAGAAGCGAGAGAAAGAATTGAACGTAAACTAAAATAATAATAAAAAAACAAACAAACAAAAAAAATACGTGCGAAATTTATGCAACAACAATTCCTCCCGGCGTGAAACGATTCGTTATATTTAGACCTTTTTAGATGTTATAGGTAAAAATCGCAAACTATGAATTCGAAAAAGAAGAGGAAATCTGTTCAAAAAGTGATTCCGACTGTTTCCCCCCGTATTTTACTCGTCTTAACTACTACCTACTATTAGAAATCACGGAGAACGCGACAAAGGAATGCAGTTTTGAACAGAGCGATTCTGTGAAGGCACAAAAGAGGAATGAGACAGTTTCAAGCGAATAGGAAAACAAAATACTATGAGCCGAAAATATTCAGTAAATTAACGATAACAATTACAACAGGAACACAAGCAGTAAAAATCAGAAAACTCAATGAAATATAAGTGATTATTCTTGAAACATTAATTATTTGCGTTGATTTATTTTGCTACCTTATTTTCCCTTTTCCCGTGTTCAAATTCGATACCGGATCTTGGTTTTGACTTTTGTGTGTGTGTGTGTGGGTGGTTCTGTTTCCGATTGGCAGTCGAATGGTTTTAGCTTGGTTCTTTCCGTTTTCCATTTTCTTTCTTCCATTCATTTGGATTAGTGTTTTGTTTGGGCTTGCAAGTTAGCGAACAAACTACATTCATAGTTTCCTAAACATAAACTAACCTCCATGAGCAGTCGAGAAATCTTACTGATTTTGTCAGCAAATCCCGAGGGGTTGGTCACTTGACTTCTCGCCGCAAAATCTCACTCTGACGAGTTGAAAAATGTACGCATATCTGTCCCACTGTGAACAACTTCTCATTTGCTGCTGTTGTTATGTTTGACACTTCGTGAGTGACGGTTGGAGTTTTTTTCTCTTTAAAATTGTTGATTTCAGTGCCAACATTTCAAAGGGACGTAATTACATTTGTAAACAATGGATTTAGACGTCGATTACTCATGGAAAAAAGCTCACTCATGAAAGTTAATGACACCACAGAGACACAGGCAGAGGAATGTTTCATCTACCAGCTAGCATTGCTAATTTGGAGGGGTGAGCATTTACTTGCGAGATATCGACGGCTAAAGCCAATGTTTACAAAAGCAATTACGCCCCTTTGGAATGTTGACACTGATTTGAATGTGGGCCGGAAACGTCTGCCATAGAACATTTAAAGCAATACGGTGGTTCCAGTGGTAGTGATAGCTATTAGTCTTTAACGAGACAATTGCTCCTGTTGGCGCATATGCACGATCATTTCCAGTGTCTGCATGTACACGTTACACGTACAGTACACGTTGAACTTATTCAAGCATCGCCCGTACGTGGACATCATGAGAAAATTGTTTTTCTCAAAAAAGACGATATGAGCTAGGATACGCAAGCAACATCAACAGTGAGACCTTAAATACGGCAAACTGTTTTCCAAGAAACAACTCCAGCTGATCGTCAACGATACGTTCTCTACTGAAGCTATCGTACTCTGGTAAAGGTCTCCTCGTTGAATTGAAGTAGATAGGAAGGCCTCTCTGTTGGCAGTTGTCGTACCTGTTATTGGAGAAGACAAAACATCATTTTGAGTTGGTCTTCCGACCAAGCAACATGCATCGAAATGATAGTTATTTGAGGTTAACCGTTGCATGCATTTCTTTCATTTAAAAAATAAAATCTCATCATGTTACTCTATAGTTTTTCAATACCAAATTATCATATGTGTCACGAAAAGGTACAAATAGGGCAAGGCGTTGCAAGTTGATTAGTACATTATATAATTTATTTGTTTGTAAATAGCAACAGAACTGAGAATGATAGCTTAAATTTTCCAAAAAAAAGTGTCAATGTGCTTACGACGTTATGGGGACGTAAATAATAAAATAATTTTACCATTTGGGTAATCGTTTGGATCTGGTAATATGTTTACGATGTATTATTTGGATAACATACTATAACTTTTGAAGAATTTCTTATACATATTAAAAATTAGAGCAGTGGCACAGATATGCATCCATTTTTACAATGGGACTAAATGCCTTCACATTTTTTTAAATTTTTCTAGAATAAACAACATGTTCTAATATAATATATTAAAAATATGTATTGATTTATAACGTTAAGCATCATAACCTCAAAAAAAATCTATATGTCACATGGGACAGTTATGCTTCCACCGGCAGTATAGGATTTATACGAACGGATCATTGCAGTTAGAAATGCAATTATATTCTATTCCATGAGTTCGACATCAAGCACATCCCCATCTCTGTCTGCAGATCGGATAAATGTAAGGCCTTGCCTTGGTGTTGCCAATAAAGTCCTCTAAGTAAAAGCACAGACAGACAGACATAACGCTCACAATCACATTCGGCGATGGAAGTCAACAGTGACAGTTACGTTATATCGAAGACTACAAATCAAGAAGACTGGCAACTGTTCCCTTCTCCCATACAAATGTCAAACGTCACTGATAACAGCGCCTCTGTCAATCAAAGGTGGAACTTTGAAGCACAAAGTGTTAGTGAGACTGCTCATAAAATGTTTTTTTTTTGTTTATTAGGGACATTTTACATCTCCGCGATGCATTCATGTCCGACATGTAATAAAAAGTGACTGTGTGTGACCTAATGTCACCGAAACGAATAATCATAACACAGTACTCTTGTTTTTGTTTTGATCAACAAAATTTCACGGCAATTTGTTTCCTAATCCCAGCAAGCCGGCAGTTTTGCAACTCCAAACCGAAAAACTTGTCATGGTGGATCAAGTAGAGGACCGAAATATTGTTTATTTTGCCTGTTGGAAGCAATCAATTATAATGAATTGGCAGCTTCCATCACCATTGAGTGAACTACCGTCATTCGGAAGCTGCTGAAAAATAAAGGATTCAACAAGAAGAAAGATCCGATACCTACATCACGATCCAACGGAAGGTGTAGCAGGATCTAATGTTGGAGAAAATGAATATGAAGGTTGAAGGACTGCAATTCCAAACGGTACGTATTGATAAAGAATATATTTCAATTTTAGATGTTGTAAGAACATGAAACCACCGGATAGTGATCCTCTGTATGCTTTAAAAATTCTTGGAATCGACCGACCCCTTCCAGAGAATAAAATCAACAGTTTCGGATTGGAAAGTTACATTCAAATGGTCTGCGAGTACTTTGCCAAGTTGCCGAGCGTCACAACTTAACTCCCCCCGCTGTGGCCAGGTGCCAAAGCCGTGCATTTTACTAATGCACCATACGAATGCCCATAAATGCATTACTAAACCCTAATAAAAAATAACCATAAACGAACGATAACCCAAATCATTGAACTATTCCACAATTTTTTTGGATGATACCCAGAACACGTCGTTAAGCAAATTAAACATACAATTTTATATTAGGGAAGGGCTTAGGAAAAGTGGAAGATAATTCTGAGATAGCAAATTAATGACCGAGGAAGGTCCCACCATCATTGTGAATGGCATCATTTTCAAAACAAATTTACTTACGCATCTGTTCAGTTTCAGCTGGAATTTTACTCGTTGGTCAGCATAAAGCAAAGAAAGAAACGTTTCACTTTTTACAACAATTATAACAAAACCAATAATTGACAGCTATTTATTTCTACCTATGTGTGTGAATGCACTCGTTAATTAACACACACCATCATACACAGGTTCCACTTTTGCTCAGAAGAGGCGTTGCCGTTACTGTCTCCTGATTTTTGGCAGAGTTGCCAGTCTTCTTGATTTGTAGTCTTCGGTTATATCGAAGTATACCCAACACTCAAAACGAAACTAACGATTTTAAATTGGCTCACTACTTGACTAGCCTATTGGTCCCAAACAAATCGATTAACGTACCCCATTTCAGTCGAACTTCTAATACTACACTCAAATCTTCAACAAATCTTTTGTAGAGTCGAAATTTCCTGCAATCTGGAAAGAGTCATTTATGGTTCCGGTACACAAGAAAGGAGATAAACGTGACGTTAAAAACTACAGAGGAATTACTAATCTCTCTGCAGCATCAAAACTGTTTGAGATAATTGTGAGTGGTTTCATTCTTGAGCACACCAAATGCTATATCTCTAGTGACCAACATGGCTTCATGCCTGGACGATCGGTTACCACAAATCTTCTAGATTTTACCACGACATGTTTTGAGCAACTGGAAAATGGGGAACAAATAGACGTCATCTACACTGATCTAAAAGCAGCGTTTGATACGAACAACCATGACATTATGTTGGCAAAGCTATCCAAACTCGGTGCGTCGGACCGTTTGACTTCGTGGTTGTGCTCCTACTTGACTGACAGGTCTCTGCGAGTGAAACTCGATTCCATTACTTCCTCGTATTTCACGAACTCGTCAGGTGTACCACAGGGTAGCAATCTTGGCCCGTTGCTGTTTGTGTTGTACACGAGGGGGGCGACACATCTAAATCTCAATTCTAGATGCTCAAAAAATCTCACACTAGCGAATCAATCTTTGAAAAATCATCTTTCATTTCTTGCATCTACTTGCATCGTGCTTCATCTTTTTGCAGGAAATCTTCAAAATCGACATAAATCTTCCTTTTATCTACTCAGCGTGCGTGCAGCTAGCCACAGCAACACACAATCTTTTCTGTATCGTAGATAGTGTCGTCCCCCTCGGTTGTACATCAACGACGCACTTCTTCTACTTGGAGATGACTGTAAGCTTGCGTATGCCGATGACCTAAAGCTGTACTTCGTGGTGCGGACTGCTGAGGATTGCATTCGTCTTCAATCGGTATTGGATCTGTTCGTTGATTGGTGTCGTCGGAATAAGCTTACCCTCAGCATTCCTAAATGTATGGTAATGTCGTATTACCGCATCAGGCAGCCGATTGTTTTTGACTATGCCATCAACGGTGTGGTTCTTCAAAGAACCGACCAGTTCAGCGATCTTGGTGTTCTACTGGACCATAAGTTGACGTTCAACCTCCACCGCTCTGCTCTGATCACAAAGGCGAATCGCCAGCTAGGTTTTGTGTCGAAAATATCGAAGGACTTCATTGACCCACACTGCCTGAAAGCTCTCTATTGCTCACTTGTGCGACCAATCCTGGAAAATGCCTCCTTGGTCTGGTTTCCTCATCAGTTGACTTGGAGCTTGAGGATCGAAAGTGTTCAGCGCAAGTTTATCAGGATAGCATTACGTAATCTACCATGGCGTGATCCGCAAAATCTCCCGCCGTATTCTGATCGCTGCAATCTGCTGAGCTTGGATACTCTGGAATGCCGACGGAAAAATCAGCAAGCAGTTTTTGTTGCCAAGCTATTGAATGGTGAGGTCGACTGCTCGAGGCTTCTCTCGCTGTTGGATATCCGAGTACCACCGAGAACATTACGAAGTGGTACCCTTCTCCAACCGCGGTACCATCGAACGGCGTTCGGTTACTACGAACCACTAAC